GAGCTTTTATTCGCGAGAAATCGACGGCTAAAGCCATTGTTTACAAATGCAATTACGCCCCTTTGAAATGTTGATACTGAATTGTTTATTTTCCGTGGGTCTTTGTTCCGCAAAAGAGTGCCACTCACCGACGCCAGGAAGGCAACATCTTACCTTCTTAAAAAATTCTTAAAAAATTGAACCCATCAACACATGGACCAGGTCCAACACCTGTTATGTATGGAAGTGTGCACGATAAAAGAAAATTCGCCACATGGGCAAACGTCACCGCTGTGGTGAGACTTGAAATCTCTCGCTTCCACCATGGTGACAAGAAAACACACTGCCCCGGATACGGTCGGGAAGCTCGCCCTTACACATCGGTAGAAGCTAAACTCACTGTACACAAACATCATCCTCTGATCGAATGAAACTTCAGACCATTCAAAACAAAACACCGAAATCGCTTTTTCGAATGATAGCTGCAACCGGATGACGGTTGTTTTGAAATCAGATGATTTTCCTCTCGAATACAGAATGAAACTTGTTATGATAAGGGATAGGGCCTTCAGTTGAAATGCGTAATGTTCTCTGCAGAATGACTGTCATATTAAATGGAAATGCATATGATATTGGTTCTGCATCATAACGCAAATCATTCAAAACGATGATTTAAATAATTCTATCGAACGTCATTTGCTTATCTGAGCTGACAAACGAGGTGGAAGCATATGCATCGCTATCAGAGCTGTTACGAACAAAGGTAAACGATGACAACCAATGTTTGGCTAATTTCGTGGTGGAGGAGGTTTTCTTCACCACGAAATTTTTTTGTATCAATAATGGAATGGCTTATTATGGCTATTCAGTATGGAATTGTAGATAATCAAATTATAAATCTAATTAAAAGCACTTGCATGTCACACTATTCTTGAATGTTTGTCCTCTGAGTGCCGTATGTTTTATATCTAATTTTCAAACGAAAATCATCCTGTATTGGGATGACAGTCATATGGATGTTCATCATCTGACGACGAATTCAACCGTAAGAAAATCATCCGAAATTCGAATGCATATTGTTAAAGGGCTCGAGCAATGCAATAATCATTCGAAGTATTGCGGATGTTTTGGTTCAGTGTACCAGTACAACGAAGAATGCTTTCGACGCGCGAGATGCGCTTGCAGCACCGTCGCGTGGAATTCGTTGGATAGTGTTGGCCTATCCTAGTCAAAGTAACTACATACTCAGTGACGAAGATTTTCCGCACATTTCACGACGCCATCTTCCCACGATGAAGAGCAGAAAGCTTCCCACGTCGCAAAAATCTGGCATCCGAAAATTAGTCTCCGCAAAACACCACATCTATTAGTCGGACGAACGAGAACGAGCACGATCCTGGTGAGACGGAGGACAAATATAGCACATCAGCTCCCACAAGCCGCGGGTTGATAGACCCATAAACACCAAGCAAGAGCCTTCGAAATAGGAGGCTTTTGTTTTTACAACCTCAAACTAACCGGTGGATCAGTCAATCTCCAGGTCATGTTAAAGCGTTTGGATCGGTGGAACGAGCGATCAAACCGGGAGATGGTGGTCCGGTTGGATTTTGGGAGTTGCATTGCCATTCCACAGTCAGGCTGTCTCGATATGTCCACAATATGCGGACCGAACGACTGATCAAGTGCACAGGCGGAAGACGAATGTACGAGAAGATCGTGAGTAAAGGAAAGAAAAAAGGTGGAAAGAGATAGGAAAGAAGAAACTAGTGAAAATGTAGGAGACGCAGATGCGTTATATAAGGGTTGTGGAGTTAATGATGGAAAATAGCAGGAAAAGATCATTCGATGAAACTTAAGGTATCATTGAGGTGATCATTGTGCGTTGGCCGGTTCGACTAAAGCTTTAATTCCTGCTGAGGTCGTTTGCAACACGCCTTTACTTCCTTTGGGTATGGGATTGGAACACTGGTCCTTGGCGTGGTAGACTTATTACTTCCTAACTAGACCAATTCCGCTTTATTTTTAGTTTTTATTATAAGTATCCAATGGCATGAAAATAATAATCTCGTGCAACACACCTTTGATCCCAACCTGGTCTACACAAGGTTTGCACAGATAAAAATTCTGAATTTTAATTGTGATGTAAACATTCATTCACGTAAACTTAAATTTAATTTCACACAACCGAGCAACTTGTAAACAATGTTGTTTACAAAGATGGGCTTTTGTATACAATATTTGCTACATTGCATGAATTGTGCTAGAACTTTACATGATATATAATGTAAACTTATATGATATATGACGCTCCATTTGTGTGCATCATATTGAACAGACATTTACACTACTTTTCGAACTGTGTGGAGATATATCCCTCACGTATGCGTTGGTAGAGGGAAAACGGTAAACATTGCGGGAGAGGCTGGTCACGACGTCATAACACTCGAAAGCAAATTAGCTAAATATGAAGTTCAGCAAATCCTAGCTATGATTGCATAATTATTGCGTTTGACTGTATTCTTTTGTAAATTCTCCGGGAACTATCAGCTGGCGTTTTGTATTTTATGATAACTCCTCTCTTGAAAACGGGTACAAACTCACCGGCAGACTGCTTGTTAATGGTATACAGTTTGATAATACAATAAACAATAAATTATCTCAACATTCAGTGGAATAAATTTTGGTTTCAAACAGAAATTCTATAATCCATATGAAATTTCCTATGCAAACGCTGATTGAAACAACCGTTAAGACGTCGCTACGAGCGTGCTTGAGCGTACGAAAGAAGCGAATCGTGCGAAGCCGAATGGAAGCCAAGTGAAAAACGAACAACACCAATACATACAGCCCATCAATTCCACACCTTGTATAGACCAGGTTGCTTTGATCCGTCATAAAGACGTTTTGTTGGCAGCAAAGCTTTCATTTAATTGCCAGAGAGTTATCTAAAAGTTTTTTTTTTAATTCTTTATAAGACAACCTGCACCTTTTCAGTTGTATTTATTTATGAGATGTCATTAAAAAGTGTTTTCAACTTTTTTTATAACAAACCTCCAAAAACCTCATAAGAAACTGTCAATCACTGCGTGAAGAGACAGTCCGGCTCAATAGCGCCGTCAATGTCCACGCCAATCTGGAAATTACAGAATCTCTTCATGAACTTTATAAATTCAACTAAGATTGATTTTGTATACGACAAGTTTTATCGTGGTATTAAAGCAGTAAGATGCACGTTCCAATAACATGTAAAGAAAACTATTTTGGAAAATGTTGAAATCTAGGAAGTATGAAGAAAACATCTATAAACCTCATATATAACGTGGGATGTTTTTTGCACCACCATTTATACAACAAACCGTTCTAATTTTTTTTCAAAAAGATGTTTTATGTGTTACTTGGGCAAGAAATAAAGAACTGAGCATCTTTTAATAAACTAAAAGTATTTGGTGAAGGTTTCTAATCAACCTATAAACTGATTTTCAAAACATTCCCCGAGCAAAGGCTTATTACAAATTGATAAGAAGTTCTGATACCCGCTTATCAAGATTTGATAAATGAATATGTTATCATTGTAGTTGAATAAACAGCCAACATTAAAAAAAAATAACAAAAGAATACTCCTTGGAAATTACTAAAATATCTGATATAGTTATCATTGAAAAGATCGATAACGAATCCTAGGATTCATGCAATTTGAAACAATGATCAAATTTTATCAATTTGGTTACTACCAGTTACGCTGATAACTGGAACATCATTGACGGTGCTTTTTTTTTCTTACCATGCCGATTATATTTGAAGTTCTGAACTAAATATGCATCATTTATTATTCTTTCATGATAACAACTGATAACAAAATTAGTCGAGGTTGACAACTAAATTAGTTACGCGATAGCAACTGAAAACAAAATTATATCTGGAATAACAAGACTTGTTTTCAAGATGGTATCAGGTTGTTATTTTACTTTGCTCGGGCCGTTAGTCCGTTTCTAGTACAATCTGGATATTTAGTCAGGTGATCAATGTAATGGTTCCACATTAATCAAATGGTTTGACCATCAAATGTATGTGTGGATTTCTTACATCCTCTGTATTTCTTTCTTACAACAAATGCAATACCAGTACTTATAATAGACCGTAGCGTAGAAGCAAGTTTTTCCTGAAAGAATATTTCCGTATAAAATCTTCACGAGACGATTTAATAGCCACAGAGTATTTGGGGAAACAAATTTTACTCGAAAATGTAGCTAGCATAAAAATTACAAAATTGTCCAAATAACCTTCCGAAGACCACATCACATAATCGGTTTATGCGGTGAAACATTACTAATTTTGTATAATTTTTATGCGAATCGGTAATATATATCGTCAATTAGAGTATATATAAGAGTTATAGCAATAAACTTATGATAGAATATAACTTCGTGAATGTTTAGTTTTAAATCTTGCACTTTTTCAAACTTGGAGATTAGATTCTGAAACTTCGGGTTTGTGAATGAAATTTGAAAAATAATGCAGCGATTTCTTGAATTATTTCGCTTGCGCCGAGTTATCCTCTATCCACGGCAATCAATCAGAATATCTGAATTATGTCCACTTATTCTACCAACTACTCACACAGTGCAAGCCATTCGTAAAACAGGGAAACATTTGCTAGTTGTAGGCAAACATTCACATGAGGCAATGAAATACACATCCCACACAGGTAATAGGCACAAGTGGCACGAGAAAAGAAAAGAATGAGCTATGATATACGTCCAGCGAACCCTTTTTTGTGCAACTCGCCCGTCTATTTTTATGCGAAAGAAAATTAAAAACTTTTAATAAACGTCTAGTACCCTTTGTTAAAAATTCACAAAAAAAAAGAACCGGAAAAACTGTCTCAAAAGCGTGGATGAAGGAACACCAATCGGGAATATGAGTATGGGAATAACCAAGCACAATCGGCACATGGGGCCGATTTCCGAGCTGACCAACCTCTCGAAAGAGTCATACTAACGCCCAAAACAGAAACGAGCATGTTTGAATGCATATTCATTGAATTTTATTTTCGCAATTTTGAGTAGACTTCACGTTTGCTGATCTTCGTTTGGGTCGGCTGCACCCAATCATCTGATATTTGTATAAATTTGAATTCTGAAGGTCCTGTTTTTTCATTCGTATTTGCACCTCAAAAAATTCAATATACGTAGGTACTCTAAACCGGTAGAAAACAATTTAATTAAATCGAAGAATTTTTTCACCGTCTGCTTTCGATGGGATGAATGGGATTACTTTGCGGAGATCTCGCACTGTGCAACAGAGGGTGTAACCCCGTCGCAAATCCTGAAACTCCTGCTGGGCCCAGCCATATTGGCTACAGATGTTGTTGCACAGCTGTTCACCGCTTGCAGCGAATGGATTGTTCAGGGTAACGAATGCAATAGCAGCGTTCGATGCTGGGTGGAATAAAATTTTCCAAAGCCATTTCGGAGCTTCCACCTGGTCGTCATCAGCGAGAGTGATTGGAACCATCCGACCGTTGATGTCGGGCAGAGTTAAAACGTCGTAAACTCCAGTGAATACTGTTACGGTATCATTGAGCTTAGCTGCAGTCTTGCGAGCGGCATTTTCAACGCGCAACCAATTGCCGGTGTTGATAATCTAATTGGAAGGTAACAGTATATACATAAACGAAAATTATTTCAAATGACTTCCATGAGCTAAATTTGAGAACATGGTAGAATGTATGGTTAAATTACCTGCCACTCCGGTGCAACATTGATGTAATAATACGTCACTCCAGCCCAGGTATTCAACACTGAGTCGCCGTCCGGAGTGAGGTGACCCTTAGCAAAAAATGATGACTTTGAGACGTACTGGTTGGCTTGTTCTTCGGATCCAAGGAGTTCGGTTAGCCTAGTACGTTGTGAGTTTTGGGTGTAAACAGTAGACAACCGTGCTTTAACCTTTAGTCCACCTATTTTGAATGATGGTCTATCGTTGCCTACTTGCGCATCTGTGAATTTGTGAAACCGTGTATAATTTGCGTAACAAATCTAAATATACCTTACTATCGATCGATTTCCCCAGTAGATCATGCTCGGTGTAGATCACAGATGACTTTTCCAGATTGTAGCATGATTGGAAATAGCTGATAAATGGTACTCCTAAAACTTCGAATCCAAGGTTGTACCACCTCCCCAAACCAGCCGCACACGGTCGATTTTGAGCTTTAATCGAACTTGAAACAGGTGACGAACAGTTCAGTTTGTCATACTGCAGTTTACGATCTTTGAATTTGAATTCGTCATTTCTGATACATGATACTTCGGCATGATTTTCATTGACTATAAGAAGACATAATTAGCATCGATCAGTTGTAAATGATTTGTTAATCTCACTTTCAGCAATTTTGTTCCTTGTGTTAGCACATCCCAACACGACGTTTTCACCATCTTTCAGCTGAAAATGAGATCCATGTGGTTGCACTAAAGTGTAGAGCATTCCTTTCCGTTGCAAAAATAGTGGTGACTTATCATGAGTTACATTGTTCTGAAGGTATATCCGACAAGCTGAAACGACGTAGTTGTTCATATATTTAACCAAATGCATATTCTAGATCAAACAATATGTATCAAGAAGCAAATCGTAATACAAGGTAAGCAAAATACTAACAAAATTAACGAAACTTACTCACCTCCAGCGACCAAAGATATGAAAACCAACAACAAAAGCACTACTTTCAGCATAATAGCTACAGATCTACAGTAACTTAATTAAACCGCAAGTCACTACTTTACAGAGAGATCATTTCACAATCAAGGTTTAATTCATACTGACTCACGATTCAGAGTATAGCACTGATAACTGGATTTAAGTTGTGAGTAGCGCGCGGCAAGCTTGAAAAGTAAATTTAATGACGTCGCCAAACGGAGCAAACAAAGAAGCACTGCAATAGTTGGAGGACAGAACACATATGAAGAGTTGTTCTACATCGCGTGTGTGGATGTTTAATTGTGGGTACTTATTTTGAAAATACGATCAGGCAACAAACTTACGCGCATTTCAATCGGCTTCGTTCTTGTGAGACTAATGGCGGTAAGCAAGCAACTCGGATTAACGTTTAAAGATTTCTCACTAGGAGACACTAGTGAGCAAAATATTATTTTGTATCATTTCTCCTAACCATATCCATATAGAAAGATCACGTCTTTGACAAAGTTGTTCATTCCAGCGGCGCCGATGGTGTAGTCGTAAGCGTAGCTTCCTCTAACTCCAAAGGGCCTGGGTTCAATCCCAGTCGGCACCTCTGAGGCATATAATCTCTGATCACGCCGTCCTTAGGAAAAGAAGTAAAGTCGTTGGTCCCCGGTCCATGAGCTGATGGGTCGATAGGGAGGGTTCAGGTGTAGGAGCTGCCTCCCTGACATCGATAGCATTGGTACTCAGTACGGCAAACAAGATCGACGGAAAACAGATCAAGGAAAAAAAAAGTAGTTAATTTGAATAAAGCCTTTCTAATGGCGGGTATTATCATTCAAATTTTACCACTAGGAGGCACTAGTGAACATTAAATTGTTTTGCCTCATTACTATTTGTCCTGCCAATATGGAAAGCTTTCGTCTTTAGCACCCTCATGAAGATGGATTAGAAGATAGAGTAGATGGATTCAGAAACAATAAATGGAAGAAGACTTTTCGTAGATCGATACAGCAGGGGACAATGCACTTATTACGTAACATTTTTCAAGGGATTTTGCTAGCCCAGCACCTCCTTAGTCAGACCTAATATCAAACATTAGCATGTGCTGTATCCTTCATGTTATTCTTCAAGATACATAAAACGTAAGAAATTGTATTTTTTTTTTTTAATCTTATGAAATAAGTGCATGGTCCCTAGCGTTAGATCTTTAGAACATTTGGATTGACAGTAATCTTAGAAGGGAATACTTTTGGGCTGAATCCAATATATCGTAATACAATTTAGACAACATCGCCTACTAAAACCTTGAATTAACGTCATACACAATGATGTAAAATATAAATGACAATTAAATTTTTAGGTTTAACTATATAGTTTAACGAACTCCGCGGAATTCCGTGAAATTTCGTTTACATGGAAGTATTTGGACCTGGAATTTTCTGATTTAAACATAACGAAGCGAGGGATAAAACTTGCACTTTTAAAATATTCCGTGAAATTCCATTTCAAAGCAAAATAAACGGTATAAGTCGATATATCGCATACCCTTACAGGGTTTACATTCCGATCATAGACTCAAATTAATTTATATATCACCACAACATGTGATCTCAAACAAATCGTGGAGCTCTAAGATATGTTTCATAAATTGACCGCTTTTACGGATGTTCCGGATTATCCCCATTGGTCCCCAGGGTCCATGGTTATATCTCAACCATCACTTTATTATCAGGCGGTGTCCATAAATTACATAACGCTTATGGGGAAGGAGAGGGTGATCTATATCGAAACTAATTCTTACATAGGGGAAGGGAGTAAAGCTGTGCGTTATGTAACAAAGATAAAACAATGAAAATAACGATTCTTTATGCAAAGCTTGAAAATATAGGTCAACAAATTTCATCACTAAATCTTCCAAAATGGATGTGTTTTTTTTCTTTGTTGAGTTTTTGCTTTCGTTAAACTTTTGAAATACAGGTACGCTTATCTTTTATGCTCATTTTGAATATGTTAAATTACATTGAAATAAAGAATATTCAAGCAAATCAAAAATGTATTGAAAAATATTATTTTATAGATGATAAGGGGGTTACTTTCCGCGTTACGTTTTGTAACAAGCGGGGGAGAGTGTGCCGTAAATTTCGATGTTTAGCGTTACGTAATTAACTAACGCCGTCTTATATCACTATTATAAATCTCTTCGAGAAATCACTAAGATCTACGGTCAGTATGAGCTTGAAAGTTTTACGATAAGAACCCAGACTAGCAACTAGCAACGTTAAAGTAAAACATTTCAATGCACTTCCTGGGGAAGACGGAAGAAACTTCCTGGAGGCGCTGGACGAAACTTCTGGAGATAGTCGGAAGCCAAAGGGCTTACGGAACAGTCGAAATAAACTTCAAGGAAAATATGGGTACAAGTTTCGGAAGAAAAAGATTACTTGGAGATGTTAGCACAACATTCCCTGAAGTTCCTAACGGGTTCTAAAGATCCAACGATTTTATTGATAAAAAATACCTGAAGAACCCTAATGTCCCTGAAGTTTTCATGATCTGATTATAACGAAACTACCAGAAAATCTCTAAGCTTCTTTGAAGGTCTCTGGAATTTCTTGAAGATTACAGAACTTCTGAAGTAATCTCACAATTATCTTGAAATTAATGGAACATCAAAATTGAAGTTCACTGACCTTCCCCCTTTTTTTATTTTTAAAAGTTCTCGATACTGCCATAAAAAGCACAGACCTTTCCTTTAAAAAAACGAAGGGGAAACAGCTACCGATTCGGGCGAAATTAGCCGTCTATTTTCCGTCAAGTTCGCCAACGTATTCACAGATGAAAATTTATCTGATGAGCACGTCTCTTCTGCTGTCAGTAACGTACCATTACACGGACAGACCTTTGCAGGAATCGATGTAGATAACACGATGATCATCAAAGCATCTCACCGGCTTAAGTCACCCCACAATCCGGGGCCGTCCATTATCCTGAAGAACCATATCGAATGCTTGCTGTCACCACTTCGTCATTTGTTCCAGCTGTCGTTATCTAGTGGGATATTTCCATCGTGTTGGAAATATTCGCATATGTTCCCCGTGTACAAAAAAGGCAGTAGGCACAATATCGATAACTACCGTGGCATCACTTCTCTGTGTGCTGTTTCGAAATTGTTTGAGTTGGTCGTAATGGAGCCTTTATTAGCTCATTGTAAACAGTATTTGAGCGATGACCAACATGGCTTCGTACCCGACCGTTCATCTACTACAAACTTGCTGTGTCTTACGTCGCACATCACTTCGAGCATGTCAGAACGGACTCAAACAGACTTTATTTATACTGATCTATCTGCAGCATTCGACAAGATTAACCGTGGTATCACTATTGCAAAGCTACAGAGACTAGGCGTTAATGGCTCACTTCTGGATGGTTCAACTCCTATTTAAACAACCGCTGGATGAATGTCACTATCAGCGACTGCCAATCGGACGTTTTCAAGGCTACGTCAGAAATTCCACAAGGTAGTCACTCTGCCGCTGTTATTTTTGTTGTACTTCAACGTTGTGAACCTAGTGCTGAAAGGGCCTCGCCTATCATTTGCCGATGATCTAAAGATTTTTTATCGGATCCACTCAATTGTCGATGCTCTTTTCTGCAAACTGAATCGAATGGTATTCGACCCAAGTAAATGCTCAGTGATATCATTCTCATGGAAAATGTAACCAATTAATTACAAATATACCCTCTCGGAAGCGGAAATCGAACGCGTCAGTCATGTTAAGGATCTTGGAGTTATACTGGATACCCAACTTACCTTCAAGCAACACGTATCGTACATCGTTGATAAAGCATCAAGAACAATGGGCTTCATCATATGCATAGCTAAGAACTTCACCGACGTATACTGTTTAAAATCGCTGCACTGCTCTTTAGTGCGCCCGATTCTAGAGTTCAGTTCTGCAGTGTGGAATCCAGTATACCTCAATGGCTCGAAAAGGATCAAATCTGTACAACGAAGGTTCGTAAGATTTGCTTTGCATAGGCTACCTTGGCGTGATCCTTATCATCTGCCCAGTTACGAGAGCCGCTGCCAGCTTATCAATCTGGAGACCCTGCGGTCTAGACGAAACGTATCCAGAGCCTTGTTCGTAGCAGGCATTCTTCAGAACAAAATCGATTGCCCTGTCGTTCTGCAGGATATAGCCATAAATGTCCAGTCCAGAGCCCTATGGAACAATCATATGCTGCGCTTACCTCTACGCCGGACAAATTATGGGATGCATACCGCTATTGATGGCATTCAAAGGACCTTCAATAGAGCCCTCGGTATTTTCTGAAGCGAAGAACAATTGAGGAAAAATCTAAAATCTTCTTTTATTATTATTATTATTAGTGTCCAGTGAGTGTTTAGTTTTTTTTTTATGTTTTCTTTTACCACTGAACTTATGAATGTTAGTCTTAAGTAAAACCCCAGACAACCAGAAATCGTATAACAATGTACATACAGTATCGTAAATTGCTACAGTTTAAGTCAAAATCGCATATAAGAATGGCATACTTCGCATTATGTTTAAGTTAAATCGTATAGAATGCATATTTCCGACTTATATGCAATGACTCATTTTTCCGTCATACTGAATCACAAATTAAATCAGATTACATCGATAGACTTTTCAAAATGAATTTGCTATTACAGATTAAATCGTATATGATGTTAAATCAACTCGTTTAAAATTAAATTAAAATATGCACGTATATGGCCTCCACTTTTGTACGTATAGGCCATTTCTTTGCATTCTATACGAATTGTTTGTTTGTATATATGTTTGTATATCACGAAAACAACTTTGAATATACGTGCATTCTGGTTGTCTGGGACATCATTAAGACCAAAATGGTGTGTTGATGTGGACATCCATCTAAAATTTAAAAAAAAAATATCTAGCAGTTTTCTTATGTTCATGTTGTTTCCAAAATTGCCATGAACCTCTCGTACCTTTGTTGAAGATTTCGGAAACACCCTGCATTTTTCATAGCTCCTTTAAAGTTTTAGAAATTTTATAGAAATTATTTAATCTGTTACGATGTGCTCATAGTTTCCCTAAAGCTTTTTTAATTCCCCTGATACAAATGGAA